TTAGGTTTAGGGTTAGGTTTAGGGTTAGGTTAAGGGTTAGGTTTAGGGTTAGGTTTGGGGGGGGTTAGGGTAAGGTTTTCGCTTTATTTTTACATACACGCTTTCGTCGACCGCGCTTTTGTCTACCGCGGTTTTGTGGTGGAACCCCCCTGACCACTAGGTGGCCCCAACAGATTGAGAAGGGGGCCTGAGGGTCAGCTCTTCACCTGCATTCTGCTTTTTGGGTAATCCCATTTTGAGATAACCGTTTGCGGTGAGGTGGGTGTTTAACCTAAGCCCACGTCCATCACCCTCCCTGGTCCCATCTGGAAGGAGAGCCAGCGGGATGCAGATGACAGCTTCAGGGCCTCAGACCCTCAGTGGCCTGGACCCACTTCTGCCTTGAAGGTGGGCCTCAGACTCCTGCGAGGGAAGGGAATACACGGAGCCAAAAGAACAGCTGGCTGGGGCTGGGGCCCCTCCCCAGCAAAGAGCCACCTCTGAATTGGGGCATGGTGCTCCCTCCCCCAGCCTACCTCCTGTTTGCAACTGGCTGTTCTCAAAGTGAGACCTCTGCAGGTGAGCAAATCCCTCAAAAGCCCCCCACCCCCATTGGTTGAGGCCGAATCCCTTACGGTCAGTAATGGGCACATTGATGTACAGTCAAAAGATTGCATGGACCTTTAAGGCAGCTTCGTGAGTCCCAGGTCCTGAATGCCCTGGCAGCTGATCTGGAAGCTGCCTCCCCCTCGGTTTGGTTTCCAAGGAGCAGCCTCCAAACTCTCCCCCCTTCTCCAATTTCTGATACCCCACAAAACTCACCCTGACAATGATCTGCCAGGAGGGGTCCTGCCCCCAGAGACCTATTCAAGTATCTGCCCAGGCAATGCTAAACCCCAATTAAACTGTCATTAAGTGGCACCGTGCTGGGGCCATTTCTTCAAAAGGGAAGCAGCACTTCCCCCTCTCTCCCTCCATGGTGCTTTTCTGCCTCCCCCAGAGCCCCAGTGGTCCTGGCAGAAGCACAGAGTCCATCCGGTGAGGTTGTGTGTGTGGGTTGCCGTTTGCAGTACTTGCAGTCAGGGAACAAAGAGGAGATTGGGGGGGTGGGGAGCCTGCTGAATATTGATGGGGACTGTTGGGAGGGAGACTCTTGAGGAGGAGAGGAGAGATCAGCCAGGCAGACTTTGGGGAGAGGGGATGGGGAAGGGGGGGTGTCCGTGGCTTGGACTTTGGGGCTCTTTGGAGCCAGCAGAAGAACCTGGGGCTCTGAGCAGCGCCCCCTCCCCCCTCTCATAGGAAAGAAGACAAAGCCCCCCAAGCAGAGACCCTTCCTCTGAGAGGTCTCACCTTCTTGCCTCCTACAGGAAATGTACGTTTTGCAGTTGGAATAAATAACATGACACTACTTATCGCAGATATTTTTTTAAGGATTTTTCTTGATATAAGAAAATACCAGAGGAAGCCCGGTGTGATAGAGACACCGGTGGTGGGGATTCTCTCTCTTTTCTCAGGGGAGCAAGAGTGACAGGCCAGGCTTCCCTTTGTCTCCCCCTCCTCAGGTCTCCCTTGAGTATATAAAAAGCGGGGACTACATTTTGGAGAGGATGGGAGTTCCTTTTCCAGCCCAAGTCCACACCAAATCGCCTTTTGATCCAGAGAACAAGAGAGTGAAGGGGATCTACTGAATTTGTTGAACGGACGGGCACCCAACGTTAATGGCTCAAGGCAACGTTAATGGCTCAAGAAAAGTCCTGGGGCGGAGGGTGTGGGAAAAATGAATTTCCTCTTTGGGAGACTTAACCAGGAAGTCCAGTTAACCAGGAAGGGCAACATGCTTTATTAACCGTCTTGCCCCCATTTTAGGCCACTTGGTCCTTCTGACATAATTATAATAAAAAGGACAAATCATCACAGTTTTTTAAAATTCAGAAACTGATTGTTAGCATCTAGCTTTAAATAAAATAAATATTTCCCATGATAATGTGTTTTCTTTGCTGATTATATTGTCACAAGTAGAGCATGACTTAGCTTTTCTCTGAGTCCATGTTGGCACTTTCCTTAAGCATCTTATCAAACGTAAGTTTTCTTTTCAGTCCAGCTCACTTCAGTCCACTTCATGTTAGGTTCCTTGACAAGAAGATGTTGTTACCTCTTTGGGGCTGTTGGTATTTCCTGGGGTCTTCCTCCTGAGTGCCTGAAGAACCCAGAGAAGGTCAGCCTCCACCTTCAAAGCTTCCGACCGAAACGGGATATTATTGCTGATCTGAATCTTTTCCAAAATCCACCCATATCTTATTCCCTGCAAATGCTTCAGTACCTTTCCCTGACAAGGGGAAAGTAGAAGGTATTTTATGAGCCAGAACCCAAAATGCAGCCAATGCTTTTCCAGTCTGATTCTCGCCCTTCCACCCTGTCTTGCATTTTGGGGTGTGTATATGTGTGTATCTTCTTTGGGCCAACCCACAAGCCCAGCTAATTCCAAGGGCAGATCCCATGAAGGCCGGTGTGGAAGCGGCACACCTTGTGGAAACAGTGAACGACCGGCCTACGGTGCCTCTGCCAGCGAAAACGGAGCTCGGGGTGGGGGGTTTGCAGGAGACCGTTGCAGCCGGAAACAGAGCTCAGGAGCCCATTTTCATTGGCAGAGTGCTCAGGCCTCCACAGGCACCTTTGACACGAGTGACGTTGAGCTGGCTATGCCCCCCTCCATCAAACACAACTCTGATGCGGCCCTCAATGAAATCGAGTTGGACACCCCTGGTCTAAATCATTCTCATAACTAAGGTCACTGAGCAGCAAATTGAAATGGGGACACCTTAAAAGAATAAAAAACAAAGTACAGGAAGCCACAACCGAAAGGATAGACATAATCTAGAAACAACAATAAAATACACTAAGATCAAAACATGCACCAGACAAGTGGGTGTTAAACAGCAAAATCGGCATCTTTATTCTAATAATGGAAAGGCTCCCGATAGTTGAATTAATACCTGAAGAGGTACACAAAGATTTGATTTTATCCAGAAATAATGAAAAACAAGCTGCACAGGTGCTATTAGTTGCAGGGAAGTTAACAAAGGACTTTAGCATATTAGGTTTCAAAATTAATAACCAGAAGACAAAAACGTTAGAAAATATGAAACTGGAAGATCAAATAGAATTGATGGAGAAAATTGATTTTAAGATTGAGAACAAAGTAAAATACTTGGGTATTACTATCACAAATGTGAATTGTAATTGTGTGATACATGGACTGAAATTAAAAAGGACATGTTAAGATGGGAGAAATTAAATTTTTCACTGTTGGGGAGAATTTCGGTGATAAAAATGAACGTTTTGTCTAAACGAATTCTTTTGTTTCAGACAATAAGTCATAGCTGACTCGCTACGCACTCCTGCTTGCAACCAGACAACAGTGATGGGCAGGGAAAGTATTGGAAAGGGAGGCTTGGGAAGGAATTGAGGAATGCAACGGAGTCGACACAGCCAACACCCCAAGATGCTCAGAATGTTCCCAAAACAAAATGAATGCAAATGATTGCTGGATAGTAAACCGTGAGGAAATCCAGGGGGAAAAGGGGATTTTACTTACCCGTATATACTCGAGTATAGGCCAACCCGAATATAAGCCGAGGCACCTAATTTTACCACAAAAAACTGGAAAAGTTATTGACTCAAGTATAAGCCTAGTTTTTCAGCCCACTTTTTGGGCTGAAAAAAGCCGCCTCGGCTTATACTCGAGTCAGTGAAAAATTTGCCCGAAATGGAGGAGAAAAAGGGGCGGGGCCATGCCGCTGGGTGACACTCGTGAATGTCCCAGTGCCCCTATGAGTTCCCCCTCCCTCTGTGTCAGTTTCAACGAGCGAACAG